TTTCATTAAAAATTGAATAACTCTATAGGCGTCTAATTCACATCATACATTCCTCATTAGTTGCACCTTTAAACAAAACAAAGAACCACCTCGTATCAATTAAAACTTCATCAAAAATTTAGTTTAAAAAAAGTGGGGGGCGCGCTGCCCCACTTTACCCTATCAGTGAGGCAAGCCGCGCCCCTTGCCGGCAAATAAGAAACTGACAAGGCATATAAAAACAGAGACCATCCTGTCAGAAAAAACAATCAAAGTAACAAATACAACCGCGGCGCACGCACTGCAAGGATATTTGTGTTTATTGTATTCATCGGTCACGACCTCAACCGCCACATTAGTGAGACCAGCTTCCACGCCTTCTTATTTTACTCAAACGAGTTTATTGTACATTGTGTTATTGCAGTTTATTGTATTGTGTTCTGTAAGACGATGAGTGGTGACGTCGTCCAATATTTACACATTCCAACTGACTTGTTTACGTTCAGAGGGAACATCCTGCGTGGTGAGCCAAGATGTCTGGGAGGTATTGCGGAAACTGATGTGAAAAAGTGGCTTTATTTATTAGAATCAATTTTTGACTCAACTGGGTTGACCGACGACAGAGCACGCATTATGCAGTTATATTTGCATACACATAAAAGATATGGTGATGCACGTTTTGTTATGTCTAGATATCTATCGGAAGATTACACGAACTACTCATACAGTCAAGTGAAGGAAGAACTCCTAGCCATGTACGGAGCTTTTGCTCCATCGCAATTTGTTATCGCAGCCCGTGAACTTGTTACTGTTGTTGAAAACATTCAACCAGTTCGTGTAGCGGCGTTAGGTAACATTTTAAAATTACGCGAGGTGGTGCGCAAAGTGGTCGATGCGTTCTTCGATCGTCCATGTTACAACGAAGAAAAAGAAAGAAGATCTCATAGAGATGTCGCGACAGAAGTAGTGTTCGATTTGGCTGCCAGCTTAGTTTTCTCCAAAGAAGTGGTTACGGAAACCGTTTTGAAGAGAAAAGAAAATATCCGTAATGCGGACCTTTACAGTTCCCTGATATATTATATTAATGAAAATAACGTAAAAATTTATAAGAAGAAGTCAAAGGCACCAAAGAGGGCGAACGCTGCACTGAAGGATCGAATTGAATGGGAGGCACCAAACACAGAGGCCGCGATCGAGTACCAGCAAGGACTTCAATCATGCGTCGTCAGATTTTATTTCTGCCGCTTCATTCTCGTTTAGCGCTGTGCGCTAAGAAATTACGAGCTCAATTCTTGGCCAAAAGTGTCCGAGGATTTAAAAACGCTGATCTATAGAAATATTTAAAAAACCGCCGGTTAAAAAATGATACTTGGTTTTAATTAAAGTGGATTGCTCCATCCATCTATAAAATGCATCAGCAAATATAACCCATGGTTTAATTAATACTGTATTAATTCAACCATGTGTACAACCGATCTTTTTTGTATGTCTTTGCATGTGTGCTTGAACAAAAGAAGAATCGTATTTTTCTCAAGTCGTTATTAGTTATTACGATAAAAGCCATCATTTAGTATTAGATTGTAAGTCGCGATAAGTCGAGCTTAGCTAATAATGGTGATTTAAACGTAGGATTATGGATAGGATTTATTTTGCTAGTTTAAATCACATGTGAATAAATTTAAGTTAAAGTCCTTGTAGGACATGAATTGTTTTCATTACTTTGTCGCATTTGTGAAAAGCTTTCACTTTTGAAATAGGATGCAAATTTCATTTACACTTTTTGTCATTTACGAAAATCGCAATTTTTTATTTAGGATACAAATTTTCTCTCGTACTCTGTGCCATTTGTAAAAATTTCTTAATTTTAGATTTAGGATGCCATTTTTTTCGTATTTAGTGTCATTTGTGAGAACATATCACTCATGATTAATAATCAATTTTCTTATTATTAATCAAAATTATTTAATTATTTCAATTTGAATTATTATTTCAATTTTGAATTATTTCAATTTTTTTATTTTTTGATTTGTATATCCTTTGGTAATTCGCGTACTATTTGAAAAATTTTCTCATTGAAATAAGGAAGAATATTTTCCCTTCGTACTCTGCGTCACCGGTGAAAAAATTTCACTAATAAGTAGGGCTTCAAATTTTCTTTCATTTTTCTGTAAAATGTGTCGTTTGTAAAAATTTTCAATTTTGATTTATAAAACACATTTTTTCCACACTTTGTATCATTTGTGAGGACCTTTTACCTTAGAAACAGGAGGCAAATTTTCATCGTTCCTTGTACCGTATTTGGAATTACCTTAGTTTCATTAGAGATAGGAATTTCTTAAGGTAATTACATCTTTAGGATAGCGCAATTGCATGTTGTTGATCAAATCATCTCTCTTCGGCGATTTATCAATGAAGATATAAAGTTATTTATTTAAAAATATATTTTTTGGCACGCGTGTATTCAAATTGATTTTATTCGATGTTATGATTCAGATCTCATCAAATGCAAGAATTTGTCAAGATGGAAGATTACGAGAAATTTCACCATAAGATTACTGACTGTAATTTGCTTGACATTTACTTTGTTTAAATAGTCGTGGTCAATTTAAGCTTTTTTCTTAAACGTTGTTTGAAAACAGTTTAATGAACTCCTAAAGTTGTAAATTATTTTGAAAGTCAATGCGCTGGTATTAAGATTGTTTGGAATGCGGGATCAAGCGCAGCAGTGAGAGTAGGACGGAAGAGTTCGGGACAGAGAGGGAAGTTTGTTTACATCGGGCGGCGCCATAGGAATGTCAAAGCCGATGTCGGTGAACGTTTCGTCGTTGCGGTGACTACGTATAGATGGAACCAAAGTTCACGCCGGAGAGGTTCTTGAGAGCTACCCGTTATAAAAGTCAAGTTCATAATTTATTTAAATGTCTTACTTCTATAACAATGATTTTGTTCACGTTAAAAACGTGCCTTGATTTTTATCTATTTTAATTTGAAATGTAAAAGCGTATCCTTTTTACTCTCATGTACTTAAGTTACAGTGATTATTTACTGCTGAGTCTTTTTCTGTACGCTCCTTGCTGGCCAGCCAGTTACGCCACTGAAGAAATTGTTGATTTAATGCACAGAAAGACTTGAAAAATTACATATGCAAATAAAATAAATATAATAATAAGCCAGATTAGGTGTTGTATAATTTAAGCGAATGAACGACCTAACTAAACACGGGAAAGCAAGCTCTAAGAATCTCAAAACCCAACTTCTCACGAAACTTAATCAACTAAGCTACATAGTCCAGTAATTCATGCGCTGTTCCTCTGAAATATAATTTTTTTATGCATTCTTACAGACCAGTGATCATACATGGGATGATATGAATATTATTAATTATGCATAATTACTTCTCAATGGTTATAGTAGATATTTCATTGCAAGTGTCTCATTGGAACATAAAAATACCCACAGGATCTTGATTACACATTGTAGGCAACATGCAGCGTTGATCAGCTAAGAATGAGACTTCAATTCCACGAATGTGCCACGTAATGATAGAAGGATTTTAGAGTAATATGAGTCAATTAACAAGTCAGCCGTAATATAAGAGTTTCAGCAATGGAGTTCAGTTTAAGGACCTGCCTAAATTAGGTTGACGTAAAAGAGCTTATGAGATGTTCATCGTAAAGCAAAACGAGATTTCTTGTGTTGAAATGAAAGTTAGTTCGAGTGACAGCTTTATTTAACGGTGTTTAGTGAACAGCGTGAGCATTGCAAATAAAAATGATACGGACACAATCATGTTTGAATGATTGGGATTAAAAAGTAAAGTAGACAAAAATAAAAAATGCCGCAAAATGCATAAGTCACACGTTTTGAGATCAAAATAAAGGCCAAAATAAACGCAGGAGTTGCAAATATATCAGGATTATAGGACAAACGAATTGATCGATAAACGCTAGTAACATATTGCTTACCGTACACCACTAATTATAATAAAAAGATTTAACAAGCACGACCAGAGTTGCAAAGTTATTAGTTAGCAGAACAAACAAAGCTCAAATTTACAACAACATCGAAAGTATTTTATCCAGTTCGACTGTTTACAACCAGGCAGATAATCGCCAAGATTACAGCAAGTTGATCTACACAATCGCTAACAATAAGACTACAAAATCTAAAGTTATATGCACGACAAGAAGCTGACGCTCATAAATATAAATAAATATTCAAGCAAAGTTGCTGACACCTGAAGTTATAGTTGTTGATGGAATTTTGAGGTCAAGCCTAAGAAGTGAAGGCTAATGCACGACGTAAAAACGATCAAGATAATTTATTTGTGCCACTGAATATTAGTAATTGGATGAGCATTGAATTCTTATCATGAGCCATGATAATAGATTTGTAGCATTAATTCACTGTTCACGAGCATTAAATATTTAGTTG